AAACCCCCAGCCGTGCTACTATAGTCTCAGACTCACACAGCACGTTAAAAGGAATAATAATAATAATAATAATAATAACGTTGAAATAAATCAAGAGGTGTAGTCGGCGTGAAACCGGGCCGCAATGACCCCCGACCGAATCCACTCAAGCATAACCCTGCAAATCGACCCCACAACGCGTCTCCCAAGAACATGAAGTCAACACACAAAGTCCAACAACACCATGACACCAACTCCACGATCTCATGTCACCCAACCTAATCTCCGACTCGCTCGTCTGAGGCGCCCAAGAAATGCGAATCCATACGATGCCGCGCATCGGCCGCAACGCACACCCCCCACTCCACCTGCACCTATTGAACCAAACGACTCCGAAGAAGACAGTGACAGGTCGTTGTCAGAAGGCGAGACAATGATGGAGTATGATCGTCGTAGGGCTACGCGGCGGGCGCGTGGAATGGAGTCGGATGATTCTGGGGATGGGGAGTGGGTGGAGACTACGCCGATGGTAAGGCAAGGTCAGAGGCATGATGAGGAGGAAGGAGGGATTGAGGAAGGTGAGTAAGTTTGTGGTCTTTCTTGCCTTTATAATTACAGATCGGGAAAACTGAGAAATGTTACTTCCTATTCTGGGGAGATGTTTCTGCGCGTGTCATAGTCTATGCTTTGAATATACCCCTCTTTCGAAATGAATCGAGTTTATTCTCCTACATTCCTCTACCCCATTAAATTCCTACACTTTCGATAAAATGGCAGCCGCTGCTGCAATACTTCGAGGCTCAATCATAGCACCGTTTACTAACGAGTTGTCCCAATCAGTCCAAATGGAATCAGAAGCCCAGTTTGATCCCACGGCACTAGGATTGAAAGAAATAGGAAACTTAGCTAGTTGGACAGTAAGCAGTTGCAAACCCGGTTGCGGCGTTGACGCCCTCCGAAATGAAGACACGAATCTATTCTGGCAGTATGTTCTCAACCCCTTCCCATACCAGATAACTAAAAAGAAAGAATATTGCACTAACAGAACTACAGATCCGACGGTCCCCAGCCCCACCACCTAAATATCCACTTCTCCCGCATGGTCTCAATAGCCTCCATACGTCTCTATCTTGACTTCAAAGACGACGAATCCTATACCCCCACAAAAATCACCCTCCTCGCAGGAACAGGCTACCACGATCTCCTCCCCTTCTCAAGTCTCGAGTTCGAGAAACCGAGCGGTTGGATCGATGTACCACTAGATCATGTGGGTGGTGGGGCGGATGGGAAGACACTAAGGGCTTTCTTGGTACAGGTCAAGATCGTGGAGAACCATCAGAATGGGAAGGATACGCATGTTAGGGGCTTAAAGGTCTTTGCTCGCGATGACAGAGTGAGGTTGGAAGGGGGACTTGGGGAGGTGGTCAGGAAGAGGGAGAAAGAAACAGAGAAAGCTAGGGAAGATGTGGGGAAGGGGGAGAGGGGGTGGCTTGTCGAGCCGGATTGGATGGGGGAGCCGGAGTTGAGGTGATGAGTTGATGGAGATTATGTGCACGATTGGATTGTAGGATGGAGGTCAAGTGTGTTGTTTACTATTATGATTGATACCCCAAAAATTGGACAAGTGCAAGTGGAGTACGAGTATTCCGAAACTACGAAATGAATTCCCCGACTTCTGACTGCTAATCGATCCCTCACCAAGGATGCCTAGGTCAAATTCCCAAAATCGGAATCCTTGTCAAAATCCAGAAGCCTGAGATCTCAGCTCAAAACAAATCCGGCTCTTCCTCCATCTCGCCCTCCATCACTGGTTGCGAAATTGGATAAGCATCCGCCATGTCTTGGATTGACAGACCTCGGAGGTCGAGGTCCGTTCTTGTGCGTTTTTCTTCTGTGGCTTCGGTTTGAAGCCAGGTTGGTTCTTGTCCCGTTGGGTTTGCGGCGTGATTATTATTACGGGGGTGGTATTGAGTAAAGGCGTTTGTTTGAGTGGATGTGAAAGCTGGGTGATGTCCTTGGTGGCTGGGGAACTTTTCAGTTTTCTTACTTTAAGATCTAGTTGAAGGGACGAGGCTGATCTTGGGAAGAATTGAAGGAAACTTGTGGGGAAAGGACTCAGGTGGAAATGAGAGAAGGAATAATCACTCTCTGTTCGTTATGTCCCCTGCTTCTGAATTAAAGCCACACGCCTGCATGCTTGTGGTTTTGACGGATGCGTTGACGTAGTAGTTCTCTTGAGATCTATTCCTGAAGTCAGCTTATTTCTTCTCCTGCTCTTGGCTCTTGAGGGAGTATAGGGTAGGTACGCGAAGGTGTCATAGGGTGCTACTCCAGTGATGTAGCCTTATCTATGAGTGTTAATCCATACTGGAGTCGTGGATTGATGGAAGGTTTGGTTGACAGAGTAGTTCTCTTGGGCTGGGAAGCTCATGGCTTGGTGGCTTGATTGATGCTGAGAAGCACTACCACGCGTTAGAGTGTTTCTTGGTTGGTCTTTGGGTCATGTTGTGGTGGGAAAGTTGCTAGGGATCTCAGGACATACTTCTCTTTGCTTCTGCTGGTTGAGTCTTTTCGTTTTTGCGGTCTCTTGCTGTGAGATTTTGAATCCATCTTGAACAGTTCGGTAGATGTCAGAAGAAATTGCGAGATGTTTTGTGGAACTTTCTTGTTTCCTCGTTGGTGACGGAGAATTCTGCCCAGTATGGATCATTAAGTGCGTGGTTCATATACATGATGTATTTGTTCCCCTCCCTTGTCGGGTTGAGGCCGTCTTTCGCCTGTCATCGCCATGATAGCTCGGTTTCCGCTTGTTGAGCCACCTTTTCCGCGTTGGCACTTATCTGGGGGACTCAATAAATCAAATTTACGCTGTGACGAGCCAGCCAGAGTGTTTGAGGCCCCCTTCATCATGGCGGTGATATCCTAGGTCCCGAGTGACGAGCCCCCCCTCTCGACATCTCGCACTTTTTCGCTCGTCGTAACGACTAATCCAAATAGGATCAAGGCTCTAGCGAACCGATCAGAGCTTGCTTTGTTGACGAGGGGGACTCGCTATATTTGCGTATGCATGAGAGAATGCTCAACATATGTACCGGCACTTAGTGGTTTGATACCCAATGGGAATGCATGTAGTTGCATCTCGTTACGCAAACCTCGCGTGAGAGACTTGGGAGGCGATTCTTTGGCATCTCTCCTTCTCCAGACGGCCTCACTAGATCTAGAAAGCAACCTCCATCACCTCGTAATGCAGGTGGGTGACGGGTGCGAAGCAGATTGCCACCACCAGCCACCGCCTGGTCGGGCGTGTGTAGGTCTCTTTTTCCGTACGAGTATCTTACATGCGTAAACGCTGGCCCATGACCGACTGCATTTAACCTACACTTTGATTGGCTATTGGCTGAATAGTGAGGCCCCCTTCCTTCTGGCTGGATGCGGTGGGCGCAGCGGTGGACGAAGCCGCTGAAGCGTTGGAGGCGAACGAGACCCCTCCGATTGTCTGGAGCTATATACGTTGATAGACATGGACCAGACCGAAGGCCGGGCATGTAGTGTGATTAAGAGCTTCCCATCCAAGGTCAAGGTGCGTCCGTAGGAGGACTGGCACCACTAATGTTCTACAACATTGCACATTGGGTAACTCAAGGCTAAAATACAAGGCATTTTATGCTCTAGAAAATTTGGGATGTTTAGCATCTGTATGAATCCCCTATTTTGCCTTCTTCTCGCAATAATATAGCCCTGGAATATGTGCTTGCTGCTCAAGCTATGTTACCAACTTCCAGGCTTGCTGCACATTGGGCGCATCCGTATGACGACTTTCACTTTATGCGGACCATATCTTATAGATCCGGAGCTTTGTAAGTTTGTATTCGGATTACAGCTTATGGTGAGCGCTGTACTGCTTTGTCTTGTTGTTGTTTACGGCCTGTAAAGATAGTATAATGAGTCCATACTTCCCTTGAAAGGCTGTGTGCGTATGCGCAAGCGATCTGTCACAGCAGTACCGTATGTCACGTATCTAATACGGATCTCGTTCTGGCTTCTTTTTCTTCTACTTGGGTGTTCCTACGATATTGAGGCCATCGTTATCAGCGTTGTTGGATCTGCCTTGCTTATCCGCCTGCATATTGTGGCCGAGTCGTATGTAATAGCTGGCACTCGTTTGAGATGGGGATGAACCCCCCTGTCGAGGGGGCCTCACGCTCCATTACTTGTCCGCCATGTACTTAAAGTCTTTAATCACAGCACAACTAGCGGAGGTAAACCTCAGACCTTTAGTCTCGTCTGAATTCAATTCTCAAGGGCACTTGTTTGCCAGACTTTATCTCTATCTCAAATCAAGCGGGAGCTCATTCTCGACAAAACAGCACATGTCGGAGTACAACGATACGCAAATTAGGTCAACAAAACGTCTTCGACAATTTCCCTTCACTCCTTTACACTCTCGAAGGTCAGAGCGAACTTGGGCTTCTTTGATCTGAGATCCATACTTTGAAGAAGACTTCTTTACCTGATAACGGCAATTCAAATTCGGAGAACAACATAATAGTCGGCTCTGCAGCCTTGCCAAACACCTCGAAACTTTTTGCAACTTCCATCATCGTCATGATGGCTTGGCTCCTGGACCAACGACAAGCCGGACCAGTCACTCTATGGAACCTCCATTCATTGAATAATGGTGCAAGCATAGAAAGAATCTCTCCTCTGGATGAAAGCGATTCAGATATCGAGATTATTCCACCTAGCGATTTCCGGGAGAATGGAAGACATAGATCTGCTTCTAATAACGTGGCGATACCTTCCCATGCCAATTCTGCGGATACTTTTACTGGAGGCATGGTTCCAGCCGCAGAAATCGACACTCTGGACGGAACTGATTCAGATATTGAGATAATTTCACCTAGCGAATTCCGGGAAAATAAAAGACGGCGATCCAGTCCTAACAAGACTGCTTACACCAACCCTGCGAGTATTTCTCCTGGAGGCATAATTCCAGTCGTGGAAGGCAACAATTTTCTAGACGGAAGCGATTCAGACATTGAGATTATTCCACCTAGCGAATTCCGGGAAAACGGAAGACGGCTACCTGCTTCTAACAATCCGGCCATAACTTCTCATGCCAACCCTGTGGATCTGTCTGCTGGCGCCCAAGGACCGGAGATTGACGACCTCAACGCAGAACTCAAGTTCCAAATTGTCTTTTTGAGCTCCCTCGACGACTCTTCCATAGATCGAGCCGAGATAGAGCGCAAGATTCATGTCAACGTAGCAGATCTGCAGGACAGAGTGAGGAGACTGGGTGGAAAGCCTTATACCATTCCGCCAGAGGTCTCTGCTCCTGCCTCGAGTTTTTCGTGTCCACATTGCACACAGCGCCGCAATACACGAGCTCTCATCAAGTACGTATACATCTCAAGAATACTAACTAAGCTGTTATGTAAACTGACATTGTCTTAGTCGACATATCAACACCCATGAGAAGCCATATGAATGCCCCAAATGTCACAAAACCCGTGCCACTCAGCGAGATCTCGATCGCCACTTGGACATACATGGCAGGATTCATCGATATTTCTGTCCAGTCGAAGGATGTTCTTCGAGTGTACACGGCTCCAAGGGAGGCTTTTCGAGGCGATTGGATAATGCGAAAAGACATCTGAAGTCCCATGCTAATAAAATTAGAGAGAAGGAATTACGTGTTTTACGAGAGGATGATAGTGGAAGGCTAGTGGAAGTTTGAGTTTGGTTGTCAGAATTTCTGGTTAGTGGATTCAGTGTGAGATGGCTGTTAATTGTTGCTGGACCCTGGCTGTACAGTTGAGACTTCTGCCTGGGATTCGTTCAGGAGAAGGGGAACCGACTCTTATCATGAACGAAGAGATGATCGTGGACATGTCACCCGTCCAGTGACGACACTCTTTACAGGATCCTTGAAGGTTGTCCTTTTACTGACAGCCTACTGAGTAACATTGCATTCTGCTTCTTGCGCGGACAAATTGACGAACTCTCTCAGCTTTCTTGTACAATATATATACTACACTAGATAAATTCTGTTTTCAAAACTCCATTGTTGAATTTGTTTCTCTAGCACGGATTATCGAGCTCTGTATCTCCACTTATGTGCTGTAAAATCTGCTGTTTGGTTCAGAATCATGCTTTGTATACCGCCGCTGATCAAAAATCATGCGTCGCATACTTATTTTCCCCCAGTTCTAGTGGTCTGGTCATTTCGCACGCCTGAATAGTGCTTCTACTTGGCATTCTCTTCTCCCTTATGCGCTTAACTAAACGAGTATATATTCTGGCAGGTTGGCTATAATGTGCTGTTTCAAAATCCAAGGTTGTCTGTTGCCAATCATTAACAAAAAAAGCTTTGTTGTTATGACGGCTATCTTCCATTCTGGGAAGTATTCTAGTACAAACTACACATTTCCAGCTAACAGCTATGCTTCCCTATAACCTTAAATAGCTTAACGAGAGTTTATCGAAGGATGTCAGGCCAGAGTTTTGATAACATCGCCCACAATAATAAACTCAACTTGTCTTTAAGCTTCAAACTTGGCTCTAGAGTAGATTTCTGCAATACAAGTCGATCATGTCCGTTCTACAAGTCTGTCTGCATCCTACAGCATTTGCTATTCAATATATGGAAACGTATAACGATCCACCTCACGTAGCCCTCACATCAACAAAATCTCCTGCTTTTTTCTCGCGAGTGTGTTGATCCATTCCTCGGCTCGCTAATTTGGTACATTCGTTATCTTTGGACGTAGTGTCTTAGCAAGTTGGTATTGGACATAAGGAGATCTGTGGTCTGACTTTTGAGAGAGCGAGAGAGATATCTTCGATATTACAAAAAGGAGAAGCGTGCTTCTAACAGTGGCGAGCTTGTAGAGTGCTAGAAGTAGACATTTTAAGCCCCTTTCAAGGACAAAAGCGTGACAACGAGGTTGGGAATAGTTGGAGGTTTCAGAATTAAGGTGGTGGTCCAAAACTTGGTGAAAGGCAGCCCTTACGAAGGGGTCAAATCTTTTTCATGAGAGTGTATCGACAGTACCGACAGGTTTCTAGCTGGATTATATGTTAGTTGAAATCATCAAGACCTATCTATCCCGCACGAACATGTTAGTGTTTTCCTTGAGAAACTGCGATGTCTGGTCGAACTAGTTTCAGAGGTTGTACACAACTATATTATTCAATCATGAATCTTACACATAAACCCTGCCTACCAGTTTTGGGGGAAGTTACGGAGTAAGGGATGCGTTGAGGTGTATGCCTCTTATTTATATCACGTGAGCCACCCCGATTAGCCGAAGTGCCCTATGGTAAGAGAAAGTCCCCGACTCCAAATAACATTGTGATCCGGCTATCAATTTCAAGGGACTTCCAGCTGATTGAAGTTCCTCACTTACGCCCAACTCACTGACTGGATCTAATGTCGATCCTATTCCTATTAGGCCTTTACTTTTCTTGAACTTTACCATGTTATGGAGGACGAGTTGTAGAATGATTTGGGGCGGGCTAGTCGATGTGTTCGTATTTGGCAGATATCCTGTAAATTATCCTACTAGGTCCGCACGAAAAGACTACTGAGACAGCCCTTTCCTGTCTAGACTACATACCTATTAGGCTATTTGAAGAATAAGTAGGTAGCTGAGGAAGTGATTGCTGCCTCAGGCCACAAGGCTTCAAACCGGAGACAAAGATCAACCTGGAACCAAAGTTGCAACCCCCGAGAACCCCTACCCAACAATGTGCTTGGCAAACTCCACCATCTGAGATCTCCCCTTTCTTCACTCTTGGTTCGTACCTATCTGTTTCCAATTCCAGCCCTACGTGACACGTGACCAACGCGCCGAAAGCTTCAATGCCTCGAGGCGGCAAGATCGGCATTGCTTCGCATTGCTCCCAAATGATGGCAACCCATACTGGTGCATACAAGCAAGCTGGCAGCAAAAGGAATTCCACGGCCACAGCCACAGCTACAGCTAGCTACAGCTACAGCTATGGAGCTGTGGAGCACTATTTCAAGAGATGTCTCGGGATGGAGTGGATATCTGCCAGCAAGCCACTCTGACGTCAAAACTCGCTTGCCAGGAGCGCATCCGGAATGGTCAAAACAGCCGGAACAAACATCAACTTTCACTTGCCCCAGTCGAACTGCCCTGTGTGTAAACCACGCGAGAGGAAGAGTCTATCTGGATTGTTGGAACCCACTCGAGGAGGATTGGAAGTGTACGTGGACCCATTTCATGTCTTGACAGCAAACTTACCAATACTATACAGCTTATTCCGTGCATTCCGGCGCTCAGCCTCTCAAAGTATGCGCATGCGTCTCAACGATTTTGATCCAACCAAACCTTGACAAACACATCGATGGGACCGCTCGGAGTTGCAGCCAGTGAACCACCCCAGCTTCAGGACAACATGGCGACAAAATCTCCCACCAATATTCCTTTGTCGAGCTTCGAAGATACCAGCATACTCGTAGATGAATCTGACACCGACGAAATGGCCGTAAATAGCCCAGAGGAAGTTGATGAGTCTCTCATCGAGCTCTCGATCAGTCCTGTAGCCACTAGGATGAGGTCTTCACAGACTCCAGCGATCGAGAAAGCTGTTGCAATGGAAGAGGGCAGAGGTTATTTCGATAGCGGCCCAGATTCACCACCCATAGAGGAACAAGAACAAGGCTTGGAGGAATATATATCGGAATCCCCTCATGGGTCGGAGAAATTGCGTCTAGCTGAGGAAAACGAAAGCCCAGCGTCTCGTACACAACCACCGAAGCTACCCAGCCTGCCTTCACCAACACTCGAAAATTCAGCACTGCCAACTCCGTGGCAAGCCGGACCTAAGCCATTCAATTTGCCTCGACATGAAATACAACCCTCCTTGGCTGGCGTTTTTAGTTCGTCGAGAACAAGGTCACGATCAGGTGGAGCGGAAGCACTCAAGAAATTTCTACCTAAGGGATTGCCATCAATGTCACAAGTAGGAAATTACTTTGGCTCTACTACTATCCTCCCGGGGCAAAAATCACCAAACTCGTCAAATGGTTCGCGATCCAACCGCTCCTCGACCATGTTCACAACAAGTAGTCTCCATAGGAACGAATCCTCCCCTCAACGACGGACATTTCAGTCGATTATCACATCAAAACCACAGGCACCCGCAGAGCAACCTCTGCGGCCCAAAAATGTTAGACGCTCAACCTCTGACAACTCACTTCTGTATCACTCGCTGTCACGAGCTTCCTCACTCGGCGACGATACCCGATTTGAAAAACAGACTGAACAAGTCAACTCTCGGGCCAAAGCGATTAGAGATTCGTTACAAGACAGGTCCAGCTTTAGAATGCCCCAAATTCCCAGCATCGCATCTTTAAAATCTATGCCGACAATGCCAAGTATGCCCAACATGCCTCGCGTACCCAGTTTTAGTTTTAATATGAGTTTTTTGACTGCGAATAGCGTCCCTGCGAAATGGAGGAACGAAGCTGATAAAGGACCAGATCTTATAGCAGGCAACCTAAACAATACGAGGCCTTCGGCCCTTCCTATTTCATCTAGAGCCACGGATTCATCACAATCTGCTCAAAGTGGTAATGCACTTCCAAACAGCCAATCTCTAAACTCTTTTGATAGTGCCTTGGAATCCTTAACTGGAGATATTGTCATAATGGGAGGCTATCGAGGCTCTGTTCTAAGGTCTACCAAGAACAACCGGCAAGTGTGGGTGCCTGTCAAGGTTGGACTCAACATAAGAAAGGTAGATTTGGAAGTTGGGCTTGAGCCAGAAGACGAAGAGAGGATGGAAGAAACAATATATCCCTCGGGTATGCTTCAGAACATTGGGCCCGTTGACATATCAAGGCGACTATTCAAACGCCTCAGCGAATGCGAAAATGCTCGAAACGGAAAATTAAGGGTCTGGGATTATGGTTATGACTGGAGACTTTCCCCGCATCTCCTAAGTCGAAAATTAACGAAGTTTTTAGAGGGGCTGCCTTCCAACCAACCTACAAACGGCGGAGCTGCACAAAATGTGCGTGGAGCTCTGGTGATTGCGCATAGTCTAGGAGGCCTCATCACACGACACGTTGTCAACCATAGACCCGAACTTTTTTCCGGTGTTATATATGCCGGGGTGCCACAAGCTTGTGTAAATATTTTGGGACCTCTTAGGAATGGAGATGCGGTCTTGTTGAGTTCCAGAGTCTTGACTGCGCAAGTAAATTTCACATTACGCACCAGCTTCCTCTTACTTCCCGAGGACGGCGGATGTTTCATTGATTTGAAAACCAGAGAGCGATATCCTGTTGATTTCTTTAGCTTGGATGATTGGATCAAATATCGGTTGTCCCCATGCACTGATCCGCCATTACCACCCAAGAATCCCCCACCTTCCGGCGGCTTCGGAAGCTTAATCAACATGTCATCGAGTCTTCTAAGCCTCCCCAACTCGGCGAAGAAGCTTAATTCGGGACCTTCCAGCCCAACAGTTGGGAGCTTCGAGTCAGAAACCCGATCATCACCCACCAAAACAAGCAAAGCCGCGGATTTCCTGCGAAATGCCGAGAATGGAACTGATCGGACCCTAGCCCCTCAAATGGGCAGCAACACCAACCCCGTCACCAAAGGCCAATCTATCAACCAATCCATCTCCACAACCGTCACCATCCCCCGTGACAAAGCAATCACCTACCTCAAACGCACTCTTGCAGAAACCAAACAGTTCAAGCAAGAACTTCATTTCAAACCTGAGCTCTCGGAATCCAATCGCTATCCACCTCTTGCTCTGATCTATGGGAAATCTATCCCTACGGTTTATGGAGCGAAGGTTGATGGCAGGGATGGGATCCCGTGCTCGGATGTTTATGATAATTTGGCGTTTGCAAGTGGGGATGGGGTGTGTCTTGCTAAGGAGGCGATGTTGCCGGAGGGGTATATGGTTGTTAGGGGTGGCAGAGTCAGTAGTGATAGGGGACATCTGACGCTTTTGGGAGATCTAAATGCGGCTGGGAGGGCGTTGCTGGCGGTTGTCAAGGGGAGGAAGAAAGGGATTGGGATGGGTGATGTCATGGAGAATGTTGAGAGCTAAGAGTTTCGTCTCGATTGTGTAAATCTCTTGGAAGCTGGGTAATGGCTAGAGAGAGCTTTTGGTGTGAGAGCTTTTGGTGTTTAGAAGGGGAGTAAGATTGGCAGATGGTGTTTATATCAGATCCAGATTGGAATGTAATTGGAGAATTGGGTGGGTGGGGAGAGGGTGCAAGCGCTTCTTGAAACGACTTTATGATTACATGAGTACATGCTAGATGGTGGGCATTCTGGTTGCGAGAAAAGAATAGAAAACAAGATGAGCGATCATCGTGTTAGATAAGATTGAATATACAATACATGCACAATATCTTTATTCTTGCTCTGAATTGTAGTTAGTGAGTTACATAAAGAGAGACAAGATGTGTTGAAGGAGATCGCCTGTCGCTTTGTATGTATAAGAGGTACGAAGTACTCGTTTTAGACACCGGCTCTCTTGGTGGATAATAGGTTGCGTAAGAACAAAGTAATCAGCCATTGTATTAGAGTCCAGTACCGCTTATGTAGAGAGAGTAGGTATAACATTTCTACTCCACTACTTCAATCGCTCAAGCTGATAATGGGCCCTTTGTTTATTTTCTTTTTGTAAAATATATGTGAAATACTTAAATTCTGGCCATGTTGTAGAAAACAACGCAGATTTAATCTATTAAAACTATCGTAGAGAATATACAGTTTGCTAACCCCGAAAATCATGCGCATAAACGATGAAAACAAAAGCGGTATTGAGAGCTATAAGTAGTAAATCCTTTGCTCAAGACTTCGCTCAAGAATTCTCAACCACGTGTGGGCGACGGATGTAAGGAGTAGGCTTTCGACCAATATGTGTTCCTCCGCTATGCCCATCGTTGAAATCCCAACCTAACTCCTTCTTGGAACGGGAGCCCAGTTCTAATCCTTCCAGATCCATTTTATAGCATTCGCAATCTTTGGTGAAATTCATGAAGGTATAACCAGAGCTGAAAAGAGTTAGCCAAGTTACCCAAAGCTCGTTGGATGCCAGGGAAAGGTTGGGCGCCATGAGCTGAAACGTACCGACCAACTCCCGCAATATCAATCTCCTTCCCGTCTTCCAACATGATTGTAGCGGGAAATGCAATGTTGGGCAAAAAGCTGTCTTCGACAATTTTATCAGGGGAAAAGATTGCCGCAGGGCGAGTAATCTCGAAGAGCAGCTGGTGGAGTGGGAAGGTTGTACCAAGATCGAAGAAGAAGGTGGATTCGTCAATCTTCGCCCATCCTGCTTGGGTGTGTTTGTCGGTATCGCATTTGAGGACTTCCATACCATTGAGATTGGCAATCCTCTCGTCAATGTCTAGATACTCAGGGTCCTGAATGAGGATTTTGATGTCATCTTTCATTGCTACTCCTTTGGAATTTTCGCTGTATTCCCATAACATATCTCTGGCGACTAACAGGGTTGCATGCTGAGTACGCTGTGCTCCACAGGATGATCCAGCATCTGCATAGCGTTGTGCAGGTTTAAGTGTGCCTCCTCCAAAAGCCACGATTTTCTCAATGGGGTGAATTTTACTCAGTGACTCTGAGTGCGTATCGAATAGCTTTTTCAAGCTATCATAGAGCTTGCTTTTATTAAGCCGCTCGAGTTCGCGGTCGAAGAATTTGGATGAATGACCAACGGCAATATCTACCATTTCCTCATATGACCGATGGTCCGCTGCTTGAAAGGCTTTAATTGTCCCATACTTCTCTATCTTGTCTTCACAATCATTCTCTAAATTACCTCCCATGCCAAGTTATCCACGATATTTCCTTATTTTCTTCTACATGAGGATTTTGTTCTCCCTCTCTCTGAGAGGGTACATCTCTTGTACCCTATTATTTTTGAGACTAATTTCTTTTGAAATTATGACAAGAAAGCTCAACTTACGCTTCCACACTCCATGTAACATTGTCACTCTCTCTAACATCATATTCCCCCCAGGCCATCTCCACCTCTTTCTTCCTTTCCTTTCGTTTTTGATCGATATACTCGGCACCCTCCTGGCTAATTTCGGGGTATCTGAGGTAGAGAACATCGAAAGTCCGGAAACGTCGATTAATACTGGACGTCCGCTCTTCTGGTGGCATTGACTTGAGCATTTCCCACATGAGTGGAGCTTTCTTGATATCCTCTGCGGGAGGAGACATTTTACTTGTCTGAGGAATGGATTATATGAGTGTTCTGTTGGTTGAAAGTGTTGATTTCTGGGAAGTTTGGAGACTACTAAAATGGTGTGTACTGTTTTGGGTAGGGGGGTTCCAGAAAACTGAAGGGTAATTTATAGTATGTTCTGGTGATTCACAGACTACAAAATTAATTGTGATTAATATTCTTGTATATTGGTTATAGGAATACTTTTATAGACAAAGAGATTCAGTTGAAGTCAACCGATACGCCGCAACGTCGCACCAACCAGGTCTGATCAGACGTTGGTTTCTTGTTGTGAATAACATCTAAGTTCAAAGGAACCAACATTGTAACTGAGCCTGTGACACATTCGTCAGTTCGCTCCTCCTCTGAGTGTACCACCTGCCTACTCGTTACTTTAGGGCTGTTGGATTTCTAAGTTGCACTTGATATAGACTTATAGAATGCAGTAATTAATTCTAGGCTCGCATATCAAATAGCACAAGATTTGGGTTCTTTACATATGAAAGATATCAACGAAAATCTCATCTTAACACATTGTAACATTGTCACCTCTGACAGGAATTTTACTAAACTGGATGGTGCTGTATTATTCTTGTGATTAAATAAGGAAACCCATCCCTTTACGTAAGGCGGTTCCATATTAGCTAAAAGAAATAACTTTCCAGTCTGACGTGAACCTTGAGTTGGCAAATACTAGAGAGATATAATACTTGATAATAGGGTATACATAACTCGACCTAAGCTTGAACCAAGGCCTTCCTTAATCTTATCAAGTACTTTGAATCTGCGTGCGTAAACAGGATCTGCTTAAACAAGCCTACAATTGAGCAGTGACGGATTTGCTGACGAGTAACTACAAACTCTATATTTTAGACATATGTTACGTTTATTTTACCGTGTTGAAGATGAAGGTCCACTAAGATAATGTCATGTAACATATCTCTCATCCAGTGAAGCGTATTACAGTACTGCCCTCTATTTACAATAACCATTCTGATATTGGAAATATTAGCTCTATACTAAATAAAATCATTATTTAGCATAAAAGAGACTAGCCTAACCTCTATGAGCCTGTGGTCCCGGTACTTTGTTCGCGATATCCTCCAAAGATCTCGTCTCTATCTTCTCCAAGTACTTCCAGTGGTTTTTGTGATAAAATGGTTGCCTACTCATTTCCTCCTTCTTATAGAGATTTCCACCCTCCATAACCACCTCTGCCAGTATATCGATCACCTCCTGACTATCAGCCTCTATCATCTTCTTCCATTTTGCCTCCATACTAGGGTAACCCCGTTCTGAAGCAGACAAAATGCCCGATGAAGCAATCATACCTTTGAGGAAAAGTCGCAATTTGGATTCCGGTGCTGTTTTCGAGTAGATAACCATTGTGTCCTCGACCAGGAGAATGTTATGTCTCATATACCAGAAGAGCGCGTAAATTGCCTCATTCATAAATTGCTGGCTTCGAATTCTGTCTCCAAAGAGCCAAAGAGATGCTGGAGAAATCCCTAATTTGTTGATATCAATCTGGCCTGTATAGCACCAAGTAACAAAGGCGGAAACCTCGAGAACCTCCTCCACCTCCAAAATGATCTTGCGTTCATTGTTCCACTGAAAATAGGCATCGAAAAAACCTGAGTGGTAGCGAAGTAGTGCTTTGTGACAATTCAATTTGTGTTTGATTGGGGCCAAAAATAATAGTAACAGTTTCGGAGGGGAGATGCTGCAGACTGGTATAGTAGATATATCAGTTGGCTTTCAAATTGTTAGGTGGGTTGTCAAACTTACAGGGTACTAGTATCATCAATATGTAATACCTTTCGTACCTCTTTCTCGCACATCATACTGGCTACATGATCTCCAACGAGAGACTTGCAATATGAACACATACATACGCTGCTAGCAGAACTAACATTGGCTTTTTGGGCAAGATTTGGAAGTTTGGAGAACAGGTAGCATTTTCCATCCTTGGCCCTTCTCTGCTATTGCTTCTGCGATCTCAGCCTCTGTAAAGTTCGACAGGTGAATGGATTTTTGTATTTCATTCTTTGCGGCATCAATAGGTGCATCAGTTGGGAGTGGTGGAAAGTTCATTAAGCCGACTTTCATAGTTGGTAGATGGGTTGATTCTTTGTATAGAATCTCTGGTATGAGTGTTGAACTCCCTCAAGTGTTCTGAAAGGGATATGTCAGGCTTCGTGAAAAGGTATGGGTCATATTTCATCAAGAAACGCAGTGCAGAATTCACTACGTTTACTGACAGTCACATGTTCTCTTGACCCAGACTTAATTTTGTACATTTTCAATCTTTAGACTTTGTACCACTAGTATTCTTGCTTTCTCTCCTAGCTTTCTAACTAGCGGAGAACGAGCACTTCCGCAAGCTGTGACATTTAAGGTAAGTGGAACTCATAGATTTTAAAACTATCAAAGATATACAAAGATGTCGTCTTCCAAAGGTTGTTGGATAACTGCCCATGGCCAGCATGATAGCATACAGAGAGAAATCAGAAGATCTCCGATATTCTGACTCGGTATTTCATCTAAACCACATAAGGTTTGCGTATGTAAAGCATAGGTTGCTTAAGAATGTGCTCTTTTCCAGTCTGTCCATCAGGGCCATCGTAAATAACAAAGCCTATATCAGATTTGCAGGGGGTCGTAATCTCAAAGTAGCATAGTCCTTGCTAAATCTCTCAAAGGTATAAGCAGAGCTAGGAGCTGTCAGTAACCTTTGAGAAACAGAGTTTGATATAGGAAAGGGGAGGGGGCTGTGACGAACCGACCAATCCCTGGAATTTGAATATTCCCGCCTTCTGTCTCTATCACAGCTGGGAACACAGCAATCGGTTCAAAGCTCTCTTCAGTGACGGGCTGAAATGACAAAACAGCAGCAGGTCGAGTGATCTCGAAAGCAAGCTGGAGATTTGGGAAGGATGGCTGGAGTTCAACAATGATTGTTGACTCATCAATCATAAGCCAAGCACCTGTTTTATCAGTATCGGCGTTGAGAACCTGCATCTCGTATTTTGAAGCCAGTCTTTTATCCAGGTCCAAATAATACTGGCTCTGAAGGTAGATTTTAATATTGTCGGAACGCTCCTGCCCCTGCTCGTCTTCGAGGCCTTCTTTGGTTCGGTCGACTTTTGTCAACCAATATCTCATATTAATTACCGCCCAATGCTGAATGGTCTCTATCAAGCCCTTTAACAAGTCTTCAGTAGCGAAGTGTTCTAGGCTTCGTGAATCGTGAGAAGATGGGGGAAGACCCGGAGCAAGCGATACACCTCCGAACACCAGAATCTTGTTGACCACCGAGGCTAAAAACAATTCAAGTTCCGTATTTTCCAGGCCATTATGCTTGCTAAAGGCTCTCCAGGCTTCAACTTCGTCTATGAAAGTTCTCTCTATGGCATCGAAGGGGAAAGAGAGAGATTTAGCTGCGCTTGCGACGAGTTTCTCATACATGACTGGATTCCGTTTCTTACATTCCTCGATGGTCTTATAGGAGTTTATGAACTCTTCAAAAGCTTCTGGGTCGGGTTTGGGAGCTTTTGACTTATTTGCTGCAATATATTTGTCTTTCTTTTTCTGGGCGAAATCTTCGATTGTTTTGCTGTCGAGAGGATATAGCCGTTTTAGTTGTCTAGTAAGGTCAACTCAGGTTACCTAGGTAAGTTGACTAACATGAACGTACGCGCGTGGTTTCTGTGAAGGATTATCGGACTCTAATTTTCCCGTTTCCTTCGACGTCTTGCGTGCTTTATCAAGCGCATCGACGCCTTCTTTACTTATTTCTAGATAGTCGAGACAGACCTGGCTGTAGTGGGCGACTCGTCTCCTGATGTCGGATTCTCTTTCTGCTTCCTCTTTGAGCTTAAGTGTTTCCCACTGAAGTGGTGACTTGATAGGATCTTTGATGAGATCCTTATACATTCTAGACGACTCGATTGGAAAGGCCATGGCGGTAGTTTTAAGGATCAATTTCTTAAGTGGAGTATTGCTTGTAGGTGTAGTAGATGTAGTTGAACAAAATGGTTGTTTGTCTTTTGTAATATTTTGTAGTAGTCTTTGAAAGAAGCAGCTTTTTTGGAAATCGTGAGAGCTTTTATATCTGGAATCGATGATTCACAAACCGCGAACTCAGCCATGTTCAGCCCCTACACGTTCTAGCTATGTGAGTCAAGGATTAAGCAACAGACAGTAGGGGAGCTGAGTCATAAGCAGCGACTAATATCTATTTATAACGTGGTTTATCAGCGAGTCGATCATATCAGCGAGTCGATCACTTTTTCTTGGCACAGAACTTTACACCTAAATAAATCAACCACAATATATTAAATTAATTATCGCTCTCTATATCTGACGAACTAGATATATCTATAACTTCTTGACAAGTTCGCGCGTTATGACCAGCTTTTCCACAAGTTCTACAGCGCCGCCTAGAAGGTTGCCCCTCCTTATAACCAACCCCCGCCTCACGCATGTCGCGTCGTACTTGCTCATCTACATCCTCCT